AAGATGAGATAGATGAACATAAGGAATTCTTTAATTATCAAAAATCTGCTTATATGGGTTATGCTGCTGGAATAAATGCATTGGGTAACTGTTATGAAAATGGAATTGGAGTTGAGAAGGATGAACATAAGGAATTTATTTATTATCAAAAGTCTGTTGACATGGGTAGTGCTATTAGAACATATAATGTTGGTCATTGTTATGATAAAGGAATTGGAGTTGAAAAGGATGAACGTAAGGTATTCATCTATTATCAAAAAGCTGCTGACATGGGTAATGTTGCTGGAATATTTGCACTTGGTAACTGTTATCGAGATAGAATTAGAGTTGAAAAGGACAAAAACAAGGCTTTTGAATACTATCAAAAATCAGCAGAGATGGGTTATGCTAGTGGAATATTTGCACTTGGTGTCTTTTATCATAATGGAACTGGAGTCAAAAAGGATGAATACATGGCGTTCATTCATTATCAAAAATCTGCAAACATGGGTGATGCTACTGCAATGTCAGAAGTTGCTAAATGTTATCGAAATAGAATCGGAATAACAAGAGATTTAGAAAAAGCCAAGTATTGGTATCAAAAGTAAATAAACTTTAATTTATTATTTTTTCAATATAACTTATATATAATTTATTTAATAAATTCGTATGTTTAAATCTCCAATAGGGAGGAAGATTTAACATCAGGTACTACCACGACAATAGACAGAATATTAATTAGGAATTCAGATTATTTAGCCAGAAATTCGTCAAGAATTTCATAACGGAGTATATATAGACTTATCTTTTTTCACCACTCATTTCATAATTATATTTTTAGAATATATACTATATATATTAATAAATAAAAAAATATGGACTTTATTTTATAAAATATCAATATTTTCGTGTATGTAGTTGCAGAAATGCTTCAAACTGTATATATTTACCGAGTGAACTAAATTCACATCATTTATGTTCAAGTTTGTTAGTTGAATCTTTGTTACAGTCATAGATCTATCTCCATTACCATGAATGTTCAGAAAGAATTTTTTATGAGAAAAACTTAGACACTTAAGATGGTTTAATTAAGAATAAGAGTTTGATCAAAAATCTTTAATAATATTAGATTAATCTATAATTAAATTACAGTATGTAAGCATAATTAGACAAGTTCAATAATTAAAGCCTGTAGTTCTATTATTAAATAACTCCTTATAGATAATTTTTATTGTAAATATTCAAAACTGGCCTTATGAAAACTATTTATGCACAAATCATATTAAATAAAATATGAAACAAAAAAAAATCTGTGCTTTCATGTTTAATTTAATTTAATTGTAAAATAATTCAGATTTAAGTGGAATAATTCCACTTGAAATTTCCCAAAAATTCTAATGCTATCTATATATATCTGAACTTTTGTTAAGTTCATAAATTTTAAAATCGTTGAATATTTTAAACTTATTTAAAGTGTTCTGATATTAAAAAGGATAGGTTCTTGTAAACAAATATTCTAAATAATAATATAGTAGTACGATATTATTTATCATAAAAAAAAAAGGTTTAAAATAATACCAAGTTTAAATGAATCTTACCCACTTTATAGCATCAATAAGTCGTTTTGCAGAGTGTAGTTTATAATTATGTTGGAAGGTTTTTTTTTAAAAAGTTTATCAAAACATATATGAATAAATATTTCATTCACATTTTGCTATAAATTTTCACAAAATATTACTTAACTCTAATTCTTTAAAAAGAGTAGCCAATTCCCATTTTGCATTAGCGTCAATTGCAGGATGAACAATATTATTTATAGAAAATTCATCTTCATCCACGTATTCTCCTTCCATATATTCTTCTTCAAACCGTAGTCTTTCTTCTTCTAACATATTTAACCATTCCTGCAAAAAGGTATCAAAATTTTCTTCATCGTCTGTAAGTTCGTTATCAAATTCCTCATCTGAAAATTCATCTATTTCCTCCATTTCTACATTTTCTGAAGATTCTTCTATTTCAACATCTTCGGAAAAACTCAATTTATTTTCACTAACTAAAGTAGATATTTCAATATTAGTTTGTTCTACAGGATCTATATCTGTAGATTGCTGTTCAAAAATATCATTATATGTATGCATTTGATCGATTGCTAAATCTGGTTGTTTTCGATGATTATACGTAATATCTGCATGCAATTTGCTCATTCGTAATGCTTTCTCAGGCTAATATAATCAAGGTAATTAATTTACAATATAAATATTTATCATTATACTGTATATAATTAGACTTACCATTAATCGGTTACGTCGTTTGGTTTGGAGAAATCCCATACAGCTCCAAAGTCATTCTACAGCAGCTGCATTTACACATATCCCAAAAATATGAGTTGCAACCAAATCTAATTCTTCTGTTTGTAAACTTGCAAAACACCAATATTGATAGATATCACCTAAAAATTGTTCTCATGTGCTTATATCAAAAGGATACTTTTTTAAACGAAAATTGTCAAATTCTTTTAAAATTCGTTTTGATTCCTTTTCAAACCATACACGATAATAATAAACCAGCCAGGGACCAAAGTTAGTATAGTTAATTTTAATGTTAAATTTTTCTATATGATAATCAGGATGTAAAAGACAAGCGAGAATTAATAAAGGTTGTTCCCAATCGCGCTATCGACGTTCCAAATGTAATATAAGTCGAGTACTAAGTTGCAAATTATCATAATTATTCCAAAATTGAACAAGATAACCTAAACTTAAGATAACCTGGTGTAATCGAGCTTTGTCAGACTGTAATTTATTTAAAATAATGCAATATGGCTTGAGGATATCAAATACATAATGAATATTGGTCCAAAAGTTTGCAGAACTAATAATTTCATATATTTCACGTTTTAATTTGCGGTCTGTTCCAGTACGTGAAGTTTCTCCAATTGGTAGTTCAAACTTGATTGCAAGAATCTAATAAAAAATAATAAAATATAAACAATTTAAAACTTATAATACAAAATTATGTATAAAAGGCTTTTTAAGAAATGATAACTTTAATAAAGAAAATTTGTATATAATAAGGCTACTCAAAATTAATTTTTCATTTTGCATTACCTGTCGACTCGATTTTTTCAAAAACCGATTTTGATATTTTTTATTTTATTTTTTAAACTTTGTTGCAAATAAAATATTCTCAAAGCACATTTCAACTATATACGATTAGAAAATTTCTGAAAAAATATTTTTAGCTCTTAAATTTGAGTAAAAAAAAAAAAATCTGAGTGCCAACTGACCCAAATATCTAACATCTATATAATGTAAAAATGAAAGATTAACTTTGCGTAGCCTAATCGTAAAAATTTTCATGAATATTAAATGCAAATTTTATTTAATCACAAATTTTGATTACTAATAACTTTTAATTATAGTTTTTAGTAATTATAAAGTATTATAATCAGACTATTACAATATATTTTCATGCATATATATTTCAAGTATGAGAATATAGCTTAGACAAATAATGTTTTGACTTACCTGTAGTGCTTTTTGAGATTTTAAAAGACTTGAACAAACGGAATAAAAACTGTTCCATCGTGTTACTCCAGGGGCATTAATTGTTAAATACTTTTTATATTCAGCATATTGTTCGTCCTTCAATTTTGCTATAAAAAATTTATGAATTGGATTTCTAAAATATGTAGCAAGACAGATAGCCTGGTCAATTGTTTTTTTAAAATCGGTTGATTCTTTGAAGATCTTCCTAATACACAAATTTATTTGATGTGCAAAACAAGGCAGGAATACGATTGATCTTTCTTTAATTCTCAAACGACATCTATAAGAATCATTATGTAATTTTTTATTTATTTGAAAATAAAACAAAATAAAAAGAATACCTAGCAGCTGTGTATGCACCCGCACTATCTGTTACAATAGATATAGTTTTAATTAATTGCACACTTAATTCAGTGAGCATCATATTGATTTTTTCAATAACTTCGACATATGTTTTACATTCTAAGCTTATATTTAGTGCTTTCCAAACAAACGGTCTACCTTCTGATGTAATTATTACTACTCCTAACAAATGTTCATTCCGAACATTAGTCCAACCATCAAAAGTAAGATTAACACCAATTTGATCCTCTTTTAACATAGCAAATGTTGCTTTGTCAGATTCACGAGTTGTTTCATTTAAGATTCGTTCTCCAAGTAAATGCCGATCAGGAAGCTTAAGAAATGGGTTAAGAAATTCAAACAATTCAGTTGCTTCAGGTTTATTCACCCAGTGCAATGCCCACCCACAAGAAACCGTAAGCCATAAAATAAGTTGATGAAACTTTTTCATATCTTGAGATGACAAAGTTCTGACGATATAATTATCTATTGGTCCAAAAAATGAAGATCGAATTATGTTTGAGGTCGAAGAATATGAAGTAGAAGATATAGTTTCATTATTTTCTATAAAATATAAATTGTAGGAAATTAGTAATCAGTAAATGAATAAATAAATAAATAACATTTACCTTTAGTTGAAACCTCACATAGCTTAAAGACCTCTTTTCTTTCTTCAGGTGTTGTTTCAGCAACAAAATTTGGGCATTTCTTTAAATGTGAAATTATTCAATCTTTTTTATTAGGTAAGTAGTATTGAGCAGCTTCTATTCCATTCAATCGGTTCTTACAAGGTCTACAATATACTTTCGTATTATTTTTGTTTATTTTTTCGTTAGTCTTAATAATATATTTATCTAGGATACATGGTAAAGGTGGCATAATGATTATGATAATGTTTAACTTGAATTGTATGTATTAGATAATTCACAAAACAATTAAAAAAAAGTGTAATTATATAAAGCTATATGAAAAAACAGTAAAAAGTTTTTAAACAAATAATACTGGCTTGAATTGTATTTATCAGATTATTCATAAAAAAAAAAGTAGTTATAAAGTAGTTATTCAAAAAAATATGTAGTTATTCGGTTGCATATGAAAAAAATTGTAAAAAAGGTTTAAAAAAAAAAAAAAAAAAGCGCATATTGAATTACTTAAATATGCATGCACAAAAAAAAACTTCTCGCTAAAAACTAAGAAAAAAGTGTACATATCAGCTATTGAATCAAAAAAAAGCATCCCAAACAATAAGATAAAATTTATTATTTTCATTTCCTTCAATCCTAATGATAAACAAGCAAAACCTTTGTTAATGAACAATATAAAAGTATTCGAATTGTGGACATACATAAACAGGAAAATTTTTTATCTTGTCACACTAAGAATACATACCTCTTATCGTTATATCTGATATAGTTTTAAGGGCCATAGCATCTCCGCAAAGCAGCCAAAAAGCTTTCTAAACTTCTCTCATGACCCTTACCGTGAATTCAATTACTATAGTTTCCTGGCATTAAACAAGTAATCTTGCTATTTCTGCAATAAATTAATATAAATTAGTATTAATCAGGTATTCTACTAACTTATTAAAAGTGATTCTAGTAATGCAAATGTGTATGTGATTAGAAGTTATTACTATCTTTAAATTGAAATACTGTACTATAACGTAAAAAAGGGTCAGGTATTCTGATGCACCTAAGCTCTATCACCAATAAAATTTTTTAAAAATACTATTTACTTATAAAACTTATTAAAACCAACTAATTTTACAATTCGCTATTCGCTAATAAAAAAAAGAGGTTTATTAATAAAAAAAACTAGTTTATTTTAACTTTTTTGAAAGCATACTGAATACATATTTGTATTTTTTTATTAACGTTGCTTGCCAAGAGTTGCCAAGAGTTACAATTAGAGTAATTTGTATACCATTTGATTTGTCGAATTGAATAGTATAAAATTATTCAATTCTGATCATTGTATCTTAAAAAAACTTCAGTACATTCCCATGCCAGAATACCCAACCCTTCCTTAAAAGCCAGGTTTTTTTTCTCTTCTTTCCTTTTGAAGTAAGGCTTGAACTTTATGCAAAAGTTATGTATTTTACCTTAGCGTCCCACAATATTAAAAGTGAAAGTAACTATTCTATAATGAGTAAAAAATTTTTATTTTAATTTTATCCAATTATAATCATTTTTATCATGTGATTATGGACATGGACGTTGTCCATATTCACGTCCACGTCTATGTCCACATCCATGTCCACAATTTGGCTTGGACATTTGTCCATGTACAATATTGAGTTACACATAATTGTGTGAACGTGGACATGGACATTGTCCATGTCCATGTCCATGTCCAATAATTTTAATGGACATTTACTTATGTACATCACTGCTCTGTATCTATATTTTTGGAGACCATGAAGCCAAGTTTTTTTGCTATCTGTAAAACTTTAGATCTGAGATTTCTGCTAATTATGTTTTTTAATTTACTACTTTTTGATATTAAGATATATTTTGCTGAGTTTGTGTCTAACTGATATTGCTTTAGATACATAATTGTTGTGTCTCCTAGTAAATCACTTGAATTCATTCGTACAAAGAGTTCTAATACATAGTGCTCTATGTGCTTTTGCCATAAGCTCATAACTTTGAATATTTTATTATATAAGACTGTCGCATTTGTACATATGATTGGCAACTCTGCTTTTTATTTCAATAGTCTTATAAATGGTTGATATATTTCATCGCATTTCTTCTTATCGATTATTACATTTAATAGTATATATTCTAATTTTGGTAACAAAACCATATTGTTTATATATACTATCTGATTAATCGATAATTTCTTCATTCTCAGCATGTTTGTCAAATAGCTAACAACTTTTTTGCATCGGCTTCTGCTTGCCTTTTCTTGTCTCTTAAGGTTTATTCAAACTCTAAGAAATCTTGTGCTTTCTTTTGCTTTTTTGGCTTCAATGAACTCAGAAGGCGTTCCTATTCAAATTCTTTCTGTCACTTTTGCTTTTTTGTTTGGCTTCCATACAATTAGCTCAGACTTTGTTCCGTTAATTTCTATATCATTAAGCTAGAAGAATTCATTTGAGATATTTATAATACTTTGCAGTGAATCTTTCGATTTTGCTACCCATATAGTATCATCTGCATAGGCTAATGCTGCAACCTTGATTTTCTCATCTCTCATAATATTTTTGCTTATATCTGATAGCTATTTAAGATGCATTTCATAGTCTAGTCTTGCCTGTTGTATATGTACCAACAGTGGATCATAAAAAATTCTCCACATTAGAGAAGATATTACTTCCTCCTAATTAATTCCATCACCTGCTATAAAAAAGCTTGTTGGTCCATTGTCTGTAATGATTCTTATTTTGCAATCTTTATACAACTGTTTAATGAACTTAATTAGGCTTTCAGAAAATCTTATTCTCTTAATTGCAAACTCGAGTGCAGTTATGCTTACTGAATCGAAAGCTTTTTTCATATCCTAAAATACAATCCAGAGTTTATTATTTTTCTGTATAGCATTTTCGATCATATTATTCAAGATATGTATTGGTGCTATTGTACTTTCTTCAGGCAGACCTGCATAATTAGTACCTTTAAGTATTCTCTTTTGTACTATTATCCTGCAAAGTCTTTTTTGTATAATTCTGACTACTAGTTTGCAGAATATCTCTAGTAGCATAATTGGATGAGTAAATGCCAGATTATGTTCCCAGTTGTTACTTTTAGGAATTAAGTAAATCTGACTAAGTTTCTATTTCTTTGGGAACTCTCCTCCTACAATAACCTTATTTGCAAGGTCAATCATATAACTTGTACTTTCTATGCTCATATTTTTAATTAGCTTGTAGCCAATGCCAGAGATTCCAGATGCTGTATCTTTTTGTAATGAGTATATTACTTCTCTCCATTCTTCCTCTGTTTCTTTAGTCATTACTTCTTTGTACCATTCTTCTTTAATATTGTTTTGTTCTTCGTAAATTTTCTTCTACTCTTCTTCTATTCTAT